TCTGTGTTGGTTTTCTTCCAGCACATCTTTGTTAGAAATATATTGCTTCCTCCTAATCTGTCTCCTTCCTGAGGGATGGAAGCCCAAAAGGGATACAGAGTGGTCACCTCTGATAATAATTCACAAGGAGGCCTCTTACAGCTCCTGCAGTCCTGCTCTGCATTTTCCCTGGGCTCTAGGGACATCTGTGGCAGATTTGTTGTGTGGCAACAGTTCTACAACTTTTGTGCTTTTTCCCCATGCTCCTGGGGAAAAAAAAAAAAAAAAGAAAAAAAAAGGAGTCCACCTCTCCATCTCACTACGAGCAATTGAGAAAGCTTCATTTTTTCATGTAGGGTTCATTGATGCTTAGAGATACAGGGCTCTGGGGGCATTTACTGGACCTTTGGCCACCTTTCCTGAGAAACAGAAAAGCAAAAGCCAGCGTACACAGCTTTTGCACTTCTCTGCTTTCCTGGCTATGAATACAGCTCTTTCTCGCCACCAAAAGCCATAAGGAGACACAGAGATGTTTTTCACTGAGGACAGTGAAACCCTGAGGTAGCACTGAGAATACTCGTAATGACACCAGCTTCTGGAGTTATAAAGTCCAGAAGCTTGCTCAGAGAAGCCATTTTGTTCATTCCCTCTATCAGAGTTTTGAGAAAATCTTGCTCTAGAATGGATGGCTTCTGACAGTCAGTCAGCCAGAGGGTTGGTAAGGGGAGGAGAAGCAGCTCCCTTTATTTGCAACAGATTATGGATAAGAAATGTCCCTATAAATTTTCTCATAACCACTTTGGCATGTTGTCTGTTTTCTCATGGTTTAATCTTTTGAGCTAAATGTAGGACACAGAAACTGTCTGCAGATGAGCTAAGAAGGCTGTTTTCATTTAAGATGGTTCAAGAAGCCTATTCCTAAAGACCACACTCAGTTACTGCAGTTGTAAGAAGTCAGGTCAGCAATTTCTGCTTCAGCCAACACCAAATCTCAAGGATTCCTTCTTCTGCAAAGTCATAGCCAGAACAAGGTAAATTTGATGCTTCCTCGGGAAGGCCTATAGGTACTGCTGGGGCGTTCTGGTCATCCACTTTAAGAATCTTCTCCAAAGTTTGAACTAATGTTCATTTGAAGTGTCCACTTCCAAGTGGCATGTGAATAAGCTTTTTTGACTTTTTTCTTATATTCTTGACCAGAAAGGAGCACCGTGAGTCATCCCAGGATTTAGTTTGTGGACTTTGGATACAAAAGCAAAACAAAACAAAACAAAACAAAACAAAACAAAACAGACAACAAAGAAAAAGCACTGACTTTGGTTGTGTGCCTTGAAACATTTGGTTCCACCTGTCTCCTGCCAGCCACCCTGCTGAACTCTACAACAGTGTGCCCAGGTTACTTTGCTGTTTGTTCTTTGGATTTTTTTATTCCAGACACCTAAGCCTGTGACTAACAGGCCCCTTTCTTCAGTGTTTGGCTCTGCTGGAGTTTTGACCCCTTCCTAGGAAAGCAATGTCCCAATTATTTTAAGAGAGAGAAGTAGATGTGGAAACTGATTAGAAGGAAAACATGAGGGATGGGATAGCAGAACCTGAACCTCTTCAGGGAACCTCTTCATTTTGGGGTTTAAAACTTTCAGTTGATAGAAATCACAATTAGGCAAGATCAGACTAAAAATATTGTGCATTGTTCTAACAACGAAGCAATTAATCTGTTTAATAGCCTACCAGTTAGTGTGGTTGATTGTCTCACTGATAACTCTAAATCAAAACCAGACGTGTCTGCTACAGATCTGCTGTAACTAAAGCAGCAATTAAATCGTGGGCAGACGAGCAATCACAGCATTGCTTTCAGCTGCATCTGTGGCTCACCTTTTACCCTCAGACATTCCCTGGTTCAAAAGCAAGGCAACAACAGCAAATGGAGGAAAGTTTTGTTGGTTTTTCACTCAGGTAGCCTCAAAGGTGCCAACCTGGTGCAGGGCTGGACAAGCTCAGCCTGCTTTCTGAAAGGGTTGATCACTGGGTCTGAACAAAAGATTGCTGAGGCTGCAAGGCTCAGTTCTGTGCTGGCCTAGAGGCAACCTCTTCTGTACCAATTAATAAGAGTTAATGTTCTTTTCTAAGACTGTTACTGAAGTGTTTGAGGTGACATGGACATTTCCACAAAAGCAGCACAGTGTAGACCTTCAAGTTACTCCTTTATAGCAAAGAAATTGTTTTCAAATCCATTGTGTGGTTACCTAGAGTTGAAAGATTGTGTTGTAGTCTGTGTCCCTCCTGCAGTCCATTCCTTCCACAAACAATGTGTATTTGTTGGAGGTAATACTGCAATGGAGAATTTAGTCTCCAAAGAGTACTTCACAAGCACACACAGATCTCCAAATCACAGACATAATGTTTGCACAGCTGCTTTGCTAACCAGGTAATCCAGCCACATTTGCAGGCAAAACCTTTCTAGTTTGCTTATGCCTATATCTGGGTGCCCAAAATACCTAACTTCACAAGTGGTCAGATCTGTTGGTGAAACCTGTAACATTTGGATGCTGATCCAAGCTGGAAGGTGATGCAGTCTGGTAGAATACCTCTGGTTTCAGCTGAGAAAGTCAAGTAATACCAGTGACTTTTATGACTTTCCTATATGGATCATATAGTTTCCATGTGAAAACGGAGGTAGACTTAGGGTTAAGACCTCCTTACAGCTCCTGTCCTTTGTAAGCTTTGGGGAAATCATCTATCTCAGCCTTATTTGTTTTTCATTCCTTCCCCATGCCCTTGGTTTTGGGTCCCCCACCCTCCCCACCCCTGCCATGTTTAGACTTTAAGATGTTTAAAAGCACCTATTTGGCTGTCACATACATTTTACGCTACCTACTACACCAAGGCTTGTTCTTAACTGAGTTTCTGGATACTGCTGAACACAGCTGTAGGGTCTGCAAAGGTTGACTCTATAAATTCTGAGGAAACTGATAGGGCAAATGTCTCTGGTTCCCCAGAGATGCTGGGAGATATTTATCTTTTGGTTATTTGCAAGATTTCTAAGCTATTCTGTTTTCATCAGTACCCAAGGATGCGAATAGCTGGAATAATTGGAATAAAGCTCATTTCTAGTCAGAACCAAGTCACAGGGAGATATTACCCAACACGTTCCTTTGCGTAGGAGCTTGAATCCATTCCATTATTTTGTCAGCCAGTATTTATGGTCTTCTAACCTCTTCCCCATGGCAGTTGGCTAAAGTTTTAAAGCAATTACAAGTCTGGGATGATGTTTGTCAGTTTTCAGAGGGAGTAATTAAGTGCTAACATTCAAAAACAATTCACTTTCTCTGCCTGAAAGGGTCCACTGGGAGAAGACCCTTTTCCCTGGGTTGAATTGTTCTTACAGTGTAACTGCCAGAACTAGTCTGGGTGCAGCTCTGAGATGGAAAGAACCTATTTTACCCAACTTCTGTCTCATGTTTTCTTCTAGAGTCTTTCACAGGGGATCCAGATTTCCCCATAAATTTCTACCTAACCTCAGATACACCCTGTTCTGAAATGGCAATCATAACGCTGCATTCTGCGATGTGTCCAAACGTCTTTGCCCAATCTGTCCCACAACTGGTCTTCACCCTCCCTGCTGGGCAGATGGCAGTATTCCTAAATTTATCCCAAGTTTTTAGGTTGGGGTAAAAAATACATGTTCACCTCTACATTTTAGAAGTCATTTGGGTAATGCATTCATGAGAGCTTTATTGGTTTTAGATGGCTAGAAAGTGTGTTAGAAGCAATTTATTACTTTTAATCTGCTAGCTTTCACATTTCACTTTTTAAATCACCTTTTCTTTCTCCTAACTTTTCTTCTCTGTAAGCAGACCCTACAGAAAGAAACCATTACTTCATTGTGCATTTAAAAGCGGCATCGGTCTGTTCATTCCAGGAAGCCTTAAGATCAAAGCTCTCTCCATCCCAAAGCACAGGTCTAACTAGCCACAGAACATCTTTTATCTTTCTCTCATAGTTCTGTATTATTAAAATTGATATGAAATCCACAACTGAACAATTCCTTCTCTTATTTCCTTAAGGCATCTACTATGCATTTCTCAGAAGCATTGGAGTGACTTCTGGGGTAGAGACCGGCTTAAATTGGGCATCTGCATTCAGGGTTTAGACATGGTTTGGATTTAATTTTTAGCACCTCTTTGTGACAGTCCGGGATGATGGCAGTAAGAGAGCTAGTGGGTACTACTGCCACCTTCAGCCCTTGTGAATCAAATTGTTCCTCTTTCTGACATCACCGTATCATGGCCCTGGGAAAGAAGCTAAGCATGATTGTAGGGTGGGAGAAATGCTCTGAAAGAAAAATTACATTGGTTTGAGGTTAAATCTGTGGTTGTAGTCCAAAGATACCCTAAGACTGACTGTCCTTCATAGCAAGCCATCGAGGGGGAAAGCTCACACAGAAATCTGGCAGACAGGAGAAACCTTGAGATAGCCTGTGATAACCAGACCAAAAAATAAGGGAGTGGAGTTGATGGAACCTGGCCTGGAAATATACAATTTTCAAGTAACATATGATTTCAATAGGTCACTTCTCCTTGCTGTTTTTTTTTTTTTTTTTTTTTTAATGCCTGCTTATCCAGCACTATAGAGTCTGTTCTATGTTCATACGTTATAAACAACTTATCCTCCAGCCTGAAACAATCCTGCAAAAAGTAAGCCCCCAAAACACTCTACAGATACACAACTTCCATCTATAGATTAATGCTTTAGCACCAAACTGCCAGGCCAGACCACCATGCCTGGCAGCTGGGAAGCACATTGGGAAGTTTTGTGTTCTCTCTTAGTGCCTCTCTCCTCCCCTGTGGTGTCATCCCTTTAGTTTCACATCTGGACTCCAGAGCACCTCTGGGTGCCTGCTTGGATGCCACCAAGAAACACATTTTTCATAGCTTTATTGAAAACTGCTTCAATATACTTCAAGTGAGGAGGTGGTGTTTTACAGTGGAGCTGACAGCTTCACACCTTTTTTGATGTTTTTCTAGCCTGCACAGGCTTTGTTCGTGACCGATGAGTGCCCTAGGTTTTGTGCTGAGGATGAAGAACTCCAGTTCCAGAGCTCCCAATGAAGACTGCAAGCAGGGGAGTCCTTGTCTGCCTAAGTGCCCGGCATTTGCCCCGCTACGTGCTCTGTTTCTTCCTGCTTGTCCACACAAGCGAATCCCCCCAGCAGCCCTCATGCATTTCAGGTAAGGAACAGCATGAACAAGAGATGATGTCACGTTATTCAGCCCTTCATGGAGCTTTAAAAGGCTGGAAGAGACACTGTATGAGTAATGAATTGTTGAAAAGGTTCATGTCAAGAGGCCACTGCCGCTGCTGCAGGACGTGCCAATGACTCAAAGAAAAGGCAAATGTCTGATTGCTCTGAGCGAGCAGTGACTCATTAACATCTGCCTTTTTCTATTTATACGTGTGAATTCTCTCATTGACTTGCAGATTTTCCTTTCCATTCTTTTTTACAGTAAAACTATTACTATTTTAGGCCTTATACAGACAACTTTTTCCCCTGCCCTCTTCCACTTCTTCCCCAGGAAGGCTTTGCTGCTGAAACTTCCCTTCACGAGGACTGCAGCTCTCAAAGCCAGTCCGTCTGGAACCGGTGGCGTCAGGAGATCCTTCAGTGCCAAAGTGCAGAGCATTTCACAGACAGTTTTGCTAAGAGGATGATGGAGTACAGGAATTCTGGAAGAGGCAGATCCGAAGTGAACAAGAGCTTCTATATGACTGCTCTTGTCCCACTTCCTGGGATGTCTTCCTTGGGAAGGAGGTTTCCCATCGTTACACTCCTCTCCATACCACTGGTGTGTCTAACCCAGTGCACTGCTGATTTTGTCAGTTTGGCCAGATCTATCTTTAGCTTCTACCTCTGCGTAAGTTTGTCTTTTTTCCTGTTAATACATCAAAACACTCTCCATCTGATTCACATTAAAGCCTGCAATTTGCTGCTCATGTTCTTAGCTGCCAGCAGGGTGCTGGTGGATTTCTTTAATTACAGTCTTGGGTATATGCAGTTGTGCTGTGGCATTTTCTGCTTCCAAGAAATGCTGTGTCTAGATGCTGGCAATGTCTCAGAGGTGAGGGTACGCTGACAAGGCAGCGTTCTTCCTCTCGCCCTGTGCCATTGTGGCCCAAACTCTGGTGACCGTTTCCCAGAAATGGAGCGACTCAGTTTGGGAAAGGGTGTGGGACATACTCTTAAGGACAAGTTCAAAATAAGGTGGTTTGTTTAGACTTGTTAATGCTAATGGTTGTCATGAAATGGGCAACAAGGGTTTAGAGGATAAAACTGAAGTTTTACTGACATCTCTCTGATGTATATAAATGATCCCAGTCTGCATCCCCAGCACTTTCTGGACACTAAGCTCCATCCAGCTAAACTTTTCCAGACCGTCTCTCATTTCTTCCTTCCCTCGTGTCTTGGTTGACTTTGGCCAGGACCTGTCTGCACTCCTGGTTGATTCAAGTTAGACCCAAGTCTGAAGCTAGAGCTGAAAATGTTTTCTTAAAGTTGCTTAGCTTTGTGACCACAACCAGGAAGTCACAACCTCCGCTTAAATGAATCTGACTAGTCACTTCTGATTTTGGACACCACAATATAATGAAGGCTTGGATAGGTGCAGTGAGTGATTATGGAGAAATGAAGTGCTCAAAAGTAGTACCAGGAGAAGATCATTGGCACCTTCCTTCCAGCCACTTTTTTTGGTTGTTCTTATAGTAAAAGGAGAGATTTGTTCACTTTTACTCACAGTTTGTGAATCACTTTTGTACGGGAACTGAGTCATCAGTTCTGAGAGTAGACCACTGATATTGATGGTGATGTGCTTTTTTTTTCTCTCTCTTTTTTTTTTTCTTTTTTTTCTTTTTTCCCCAGAAAGCAGAGTGTAGTGATTACTTTAGGTTTGAACAAACCAGTGTTTCTCCGAAACCCAAATAAAATACTTTGCTTGGAAGCATTTGCTCACATTTTAGCAAATTCAAAGAACATTCCTCAGTTAAAAAATGAATTTTCCTTTTAACCACCTGGTGAATGTGATTTCAGACTTGTGTTGGATTTGTGTTTTTGCTGACTCTGCCACCAGCACAAGTTAAGACTTGATCCTGTTTTCCTGCTGCTGATCACAATGTGCAGCCATGCTTCCCAATGTTTAAGGGTTTCTAATGGATTAATTTCTGTGTTGTCTCTCACACCATTAGACTCTTCACAGAGTAGAGTTCTCATTTTGTACATGGCAAAAGGAAAATGTCATACGCAGAAGTCCCTGTCTGTATCCTGCTGCTGACGAGCTACACGTTGAGTTAAAATAGAGCACAAGCATTGTACAAATGCGATGTGATTCTTTTGCTTGCTCTGCTTTTTAATACCACCATTACGTAGCAGGGAAAACTGACACCATAAAGCTCCTTGGCTATCAGGTGACACCACTGCCGTGTCTCAGGGAAAGCTCCAAACCACAGGCTGCAGGGCTGCTTTTTCCTTAGCGCCTCCATTCTGGATTTCCCCCAGGGGACCCTCATCCAGGAGCAGGTATCAGACAGCCTCATTATCTATGAATCAACAGCCTCTGGTGATCTCATAGCAGATGTATAAAAGTGCAAATTTTAGCATTTTTCAAACCTCAGGTCACTTCAGACCTAGAAAATTTGTTTCTGCCACCCACAATGGAGCTGGAAGAGATTTTCCACGGAGTCTCCCACAGCCACGGAGCTCTTGGCCCCTGCTCTTCATGCAGAAGATGCCTCTTTGGTGGGAATAATCTCATTATAGTATCACCCCCACTTGTCTTCGACAGAGAGCTTTTTGTAATCTCTTTGGACAATCCTGAGGTTGAGGCTCAGACCACTCCTTTAAGAATTGGTGTAGTTTGCTGAGTGTCAATAGCTTTGTACCCTCAGCTGTTGTAAGTTAGTGCACCTCCATAAAAGCCAGTGGGTCTACATTAATTGACATAATCTGGGCTTATGATGGAGTTTCTATTTCTGCAGCAGCCTGCTTCCCTAGAGATAAGGGGACAGGCAGTTTCACAGGATGGGTGTGAGGGAAGGAGGTGAATGGTAGCTAAATGAGTTTTAAAAGGTATGTGTGCAAAATAACTTCCTCAGCTGGTTCTTTTTTAAGAGACTTTTATGAAGAGAGACCACATGAGGAGATTATGGTGTGGTTGCAGGACAGGGCTAGGAGGTCTGTTGTGCAGGCTGTGCTGTTCATCCCATGAGGAAGGAGAATTTGCTTTCCTGCATTGTTTTCTCTCTCCTGCCAGCTCTGCTTATGCTTTCTTTCACACACGCTGCAAGCTGCTGCTGTGTGGAGGACCACACTGTGTTTTTGTGAAGAGCAAGACAACAATTGCCACGAAGTGCAAAGTTTTACTCCAGGCTGGGAGAAAGAATCTGACCCATCATTTCCAGGGAAAAGGGGAAAAGGAATAACTTACATTATGATTCAGACTGCTCTCACACTTTTTCCTCTTACATCATATCCTAGGCAAATTAAATAATCATTTTAGAGGTGACACTAGGTGATTCAGTTGACTTTAAGAAGCAGTTGCATCCCCAAGAGAGAAATGAGGGTAGGACACTGTAAAGCCATGTAATCTAAAGGGCACATTTTCCAAATGCCTCCTGATGCAATGGCTGTTTTCAGTGAGACTTTAGTCCAGCTCCAGTGTTTAGTTGTATCTGCATAGCTGCATTAAGTCCTGGGGGGATGGAATCCAGGAGCACCAGCTAGCTGCAGGCTGCAGACCTCCAGGAAATGCCTCCGTTATCCCAGCAATGTGTGAGTGGGAAGCCACGACCTGCTTGTTGGGGTAACTCTTCTTACCAAAGCTGAATTAACCTGCAGTACTGATCACCTGTGTTAACCACACAATGAAGATATGTCTGTGCAGATGAGAGGGAAAGTATTTTTATTTTTGTATTCCTGATTCAAAACAAATTTCTGAAAGATCCTTAAAGGTCACGTGGTGACCTAGAGGCTCCTTCATGGCTTCTACAGACCTTCCTTGTCACCACTGGCTGGCAGACCACTCTGCCAGACCTGGAGTTGGATGAGGTGTCTGTATCAAAATACTTCTGTTGAATACGGCCAACTTCCCATGTGTTTTATGTTGCACTGCACTCCTATGCCACTTTCACAAACTTTTTAGGATATTTGCACCAACAGTGAGTTTCATATTTGCTTCTGGTTCCTGAAGGAAAGCGGTGAATACCATCCTCATCATTCAGCACAGTCTTTTTCATTGTCTGCTGTTGAGGACCACATTTGATATCTTACCACATTTACTTTTTGCCATATTTGTTGCAACCACTCAGGAAGCTGTTGGGAATGCCTGAAACCACTGTGTCCACAGTACAGTTACAAATCTTTTTTTGTAAGTCTCTTACCAGTCCTCATTTGCATCTAACCATGTATCCACAGGATGCTGCCCACACAGAAGTTTTGCAGTGCCCATGGATGCTCCTGCTGTGCTTTGGTCTGCTCCAGCCACTGCTGGCAGCTGGTTCTGCACGGAGGTGGATCAGCAGGGATTTGAAGGGTTGGTTTTGGTGACCAGTGGCTGGAGCCAGCAGTGAAGAGCAGACAGAGGTTAACGCTCCAGCTGTGTTCAGTAATGCGGGGCCATCCTTCCTGAGCTAGCTCTTGGTGGATATATGCCAAAATCTCTCCCTGAAGTTCACCGGTGGAATTGGAAAATTTTGTGGGTAAAGAGCAAGTTTCTGTCATTTTAACCAGCAGGCCCAAGGTGCTAGTCATCCTCTTCTATGTGACCTGTGAAAAGAGGAATCTTCCACGGCAAGTCACTCACTTCTGGGGGTGCTCTTTGAAATCCTTAGCAATAAATATGGTTTGAAGCAATAAACAAACAGATAACTCTATGCAGCCAGGATTTCATAGACATTTAAATGAGCTAAAAATATCCCATTAGGTTTAACTAACATCCCTGAATTCCAGTGATGTTCTGAGCTTAATTTCCTTACACTCAATGAAATGCTTGGTCTTGATGATGCAGGGAGGTCAAAACCTCAACTCATGACACTCTGCAGGCATCAGTTCCAGCCATGTGGAGCATGCCTTCTGTTCCAAAGCATGGTTAGCATTTACTTGAATGCTCATGAAAAGAGATACACCTGCTTTTCCTGGACTCCTCTCAGTGACTCGGCACTTACATGACAATACATCTTCCAT